GTCGGTATTTATTTACTCATATAATAGACAACGCAGCATTTTTTTCAAGAAGTAGAATTCAGTAAATGCAGAATTATGATATATATAGAAGAAAATAGGCTTAAAAAAATATTCGTTGACTGTGATCCAGATTCTGTTTGAAATCAAGTTGGTTATCTGAAACAGTTTAGAGGTTATCAGCTTTTTGGACTTGATAATCAATATGTTCAAAATATTATTCGAAGTATTCATATTTTTATATATTCATTATCAAATTGGAACAATGAACATTTAATAACACTAGTGTATAAATATCATCTCAAATGACATATTAGTGTGCAGGTTAATTGGCAAAACTATTTTAAGACTAGATATTATATAAAAATACTATTATCGAATTATGATCAGCTTTTCAAAACTTATATTCAAAAAAATATATAATAGATGATCATGAATATTGAGCCTGGGAATCATTGTTAAGATATGTTGGTTGTGTAGAAATAACAGCTTTTGAAAAAAATCAGTCAGAGGTATATATTGTAATTTTTTAAATATTTGCAACCAAATTTATTTATTTTATTTATACAGTTTAGGTTTTGGTCAAGGTCAGCAAGTCCGAATGCAAACAAAGCTTCATTAGCAACATTATATACTCTAGGATTTTTAAACCCAATACCAAAATATTTCAAAAATAATACTAAAACATTTTGGCAATGTTTTAAAGATTCTTTAGATGCTAATATATGTGGTAATAATGGCAAATATCACGTTTTGTCTATTATTGCAAATGCATTCTCATATAAAAAAATTAATAAAAATCTAAAAGTGAGTTTTAGAAGTTTAAATTATAAAAAATAAATAAAACATGTATCAAAAAATCACTTATTCTAAACTATATTATTTAGGTTTCAAATGATGCTATACTTACTACTAAAAAACATGCATATACTTGTGGCCCTGGGGGCAAATTAAAACAAACCTGCAATCACATATGAAAAAATATCATCTAAAAAACAGTAACAAATTTGACAATTTTTAACAAACAAAGCAAATATCATAATGAGCTTATATAAAACTGATTTAGTAACTAATAAACCTGTTTATTACTTAAAAGATTCCAAAAATATACTTTGGAAATGGTTTCACAAAGAATATCCAGATGGTATAAAATGTACAAGTTTTTATATACATTTGCAAAGAAATCAGTATATATATTGTGAAAATCTGGGTGGACTTTGTCAAACCTGCTCAAAATATGGGTATGATACTTTTGATGAAATTAATGAATTTATTCATAATAATATTAAGTGCTATTATATTCAGATATGTAAATTAATTTATCAAACATTTTTTTTATTAGATTGTTAAATACCCTTAATTTGATTGTGATAAGAAAAAATGGCTTTAAAAATTATTGTTTTTTATTTTAGAATACACAGGTCGAATATATGAATAATAGAATATACCTATATAGTTCCATTATTTTGCCGATATGTATAAGAGAGCAATATAGAAGAACCAATAATAGTAAACTAACAGATATCGATATTTTAGTAAAATAAAATATAAATATCAGTT